GTCTTAAATGTGAATATTAAAAATCAAAAACAAATATTGAGGTAGGAAAAACTTGAAAAAAGGAGAAAAAAGATAAAACATTTTCTTGTTTTGAGAAGAGGCCACATCATTACATGTGGTTTCTTCTTTAATATATATATAGATTTTAATTTTTAAGAGGGGTTCCGTTCAACGAACGGCCCACATGGGTTTACAGACATCCATCTCCATCATTTAAAAAAAAAAAAAAATTAAACTACAAATTTAGTCCTTGTGATTTGTTTAAAATAACACTTTTTGCTTATACAATTTCAAAATATTCAGATTTGGTCCGATTAAAGAAAATAAAAATGCCCCTCACCTCATTTAACGAAATATGTTGTTTTCGACAAACCACCAGGACCCAATATTTAAATACGGTTTTTAGATCTTAAAAAAATTATTTAAAGAAGCTGATGTTTAATTTAAATGATGAATATATATATATATATATATATATATATATATATATTTTTTAATAATAAAACAAAGTTTCTGATCCAAAACAACAAGGTTATACAAGTTCACGAAAAGAGGGAACTGCAGACTGATTCATATCTTCAAAAACCTCAAGCATTCATTTTCTAGCGATGAGGAAAACCGCCATTTTCTTCCTCATATTTGCAGTTTACCATCTCCGATGCAACACTACTATGTCGGAGCAGCAGCCTTATCGGACGGCCTTTCACTTCCAGCCTCCTCAAAACTGGATGAACGGTCCGTTTTTCTTCTTAGCTTTCACTTCCTCCTCCTGTACCTACTTGTTCTAAATGTCTCTCTGGTTTCTTTGATTTATGACGATGAACATGGCACGTGATTGATTTGTGGATGATCGAATGCGCGCAGATCCTAATGGCAAGTCATTCTCCCTACCTATTTATCATTTTTTTGTTGTCTCCTTAATTTGATTCTTGCAATTAATTAGTTCCAATCTAGTTTTATTTTAACCAGTAGTATGACACATAAATGCACTATGATCTTAGAGTCACTGATTATAGGTCATTTTCAAGGCTTATTTTTAGAGTAAAACTACAACTACGATATACCACCAGACAGCTAACTAATCAATTGTTTTTTTTACGGAACTGTATATAGATTTGATTATTGCAAATGCCAAATATAAATCAAGCAAAAACAAGTGTCTGAGTAGTTTGATTGTTTATATTTCTGGATTATGGCTGATGGTAGATCCAAATGCATCCAGGACCAATGTACTACAATGGAGTCTACCACCTCTTCTATCAATACAACCCATCTGGTCCACTCTTTTCCGATCAAATGTATTGGGCACATTCTGTATCCTATGACTTGATAAACTGGATCCCTCTAGACCTCGCCTTTTCCCCCACCGAATCCTTCGACAACAACAGTTGCTGGTCTGGTTCCGCCACTATCCTCCCCGGGAACAAGCCTGTGATGTTGTATACAGGAATTGACTCTGAAAACCGCCAAGTCCAGAACATGGCCGTCCCAAAGGACTTATCTGATCCCTATCTTAGAGAATGGATAAAGTACACTGGCAATCCGATCATAAACCTTCCTGATGGGATTCAACCGGATGACTTCAGAGACCCAACCACCGCTTGGCTCGCCGAAGACGGGAAATGGAGAATAATTGTGGGAAGTCAGAAAGACAAGATGGGGATCGCGTTTCTGTACCAATCTGAGGACTTCGTTAATTGGACTAAATTTGATTCGCCACTTCATAAGGTTTCAGGAACTGGGATATGGGAATGTCCTGATTTCTTTCCGGTGTGGATTGATAGCAAGAAGGGGGTCGATACATCTGTCATGAACCCAAGAGTAAAGCATGTGTTGAAGGTGGGATTGTTTGATTATGCCAAAGATTTCTACATGATCGGGAATTACAGTCCTGAGAAGGAAAATTATGTTCCTCAAAACGAATTAACGCTAAGTACTTTGAGGTATGATTACGGGAAGTACTATGCTTCAAAGTCATTCTTCGACCCTGTGAAAAACCGAAGGGTCTTGATGGCTTGGGTGAATGAGTCTGATTCTCAAGCAGATGATATCGCTAAAGGATGGTCCGGACTTCATGTAATCCAAAGATTAACTTTTACTTAATTTTATCTCCTTATATGCTTTCACATTTTATAAGATCATGAATTCACTTATTATATGCAGTCATTTCCAAGGAGTCTTTGGCTGGACCAAAACCAGAAGCAGCTCGTACAGTGGCCTATCGAGGAAATCGAAATGCTGCACGAGAACGAAGTTAGTATTCTTGATAAGAAGCTTGAAGGTGGATCATTACATGAAGTTGTGGGCATAACTGCTTCTCAGGTAAGCCAATAAGTCTTTATAACTTTGCTTCAATTCCATTTCATAGCTTCTTTTGCACCTAACATTCAGTATTGCTTATTGAAAGGCTGATGTGAAGATTTCATTCAAACTAAGTAATTTAGAAGAAGCCGAAGAACTGGACCCAAGTTGGATTGATGATCCGCAGCTTACCTGCAGCGAAAAGGATGCATCAAACAAAGGCCAATTCGGACCATTTGGACTGTTAGCTTTGGCTTCCAACGACTTAACTGAACAAACTGCAATCTTCTTTCAAGTTTTCCAAAATAACGGACGTTACGTTGTGCTAATGTGCAGTGATCAAAGCCGGTCAGTTTTCTTCAATTCAAAGTTATTTCGGATACATATATATACACTGAGAGAGAGTTCCCTTTTACAAACCCAATAATCCGTGCAAACTTACTAACCATTAAAAACACATATGAAAATGCAGTACTTATACGGTGTATAAACACTGCATTTCATATGTTGTGTGAAACAACACATGAAAACTAATGATTTATTGGATTTGTAAATGATTATGCGTGTGTATATATATATTCAATATGTAATGAATTACTAATGTGTTGAAAACCTACATGTCCCAGGTCTTCTACAAAGAGTGGGATTGACAAAACTACTTACGGAGCATTTGTGGACATAGATCCTCAACAAGATGAAATTTCACTGAGAACCTTGGTGGGTAAACCTACTTCTTTCGTTGTGCTAACTTTTGCTCTGAGTCGAACTTGAGGTCTTATATATGTAGTTCGATGGTGTGGGATGTTTACAGATAGATCACTCGATCATTGAGAGCTTTGGAGGAGGAGGAAAGACATGCATTACAGCTAGGGCTCACCCAACATTGGCCATCGGAAAAGAAGCTCGGCTGCTCATCTTTAACAATGGAACAGAAAGTGTTGTGATCTCAAAGCTGAGTGCTTGGAGTGTTAAGAAAGCTCTAATCAACGTTGAAGAAAGTATAAGCTGCACAGATCAATAATCTGATTCATGAAACATCTTCGTATTAAGAGTCCATAGTGAGAGCTTGCAGGCCACTACAAATTCCCCTTAAGGTGAAATTTAAATATTTGGTTTGTATCCTTTATCAATTCAGCTACACTTAATTTTATTTTTATGTAACAAAAGCAGTTATTTAGCATCTTACATATGTTCTCTTGGAATTTAATCTTCCATTACTTCACAGTATTTAAAAAAGACGATTACATTACAATTTTAACCACTCAAAATAAGTCATTCAAGTTTACTATCTGTTTGTATAAGGATAAGTATTAGGATGCATACTATGATAAAAACATTGAATTAAAACGATACTGTAAATCGGGCTTTTGTTCTTTCGTTTTTGAAATTGTGTCTGTTACATTATAATATGCTATACGAAATACATATTGGACATAGAGTATTGTACTAAGCACTTAAGTAGATTAGTTGGAGTCTTGGAATACCTAATGGGTAAGAAGATTTTTGTTGGATTTATTTTCTAAGGAAATGGTAGATAAGCAGTGTCTTTAGTTATCGGATCAAGTAGTTGAGACAAAATGGAACAAATCGGTTCAAAGAAAAGTTTGCATCTTTGTGTGGCGATTAAGACAAGGCAAGATCTCAGTGTGTTTGGTGCTAGTTTGATCTTCACTTTTCTTATGTCCCTGATGTGGGGATGAAATCAAAAGGGTTGATCATTGCTTAATTCATTGTAAGGAGGTCTCAGATGTAGGGTTAAAAAAATTCTGGTGGTGGGGATTTGGCTTCTCTAACGTGGACGTCTTTTCTCTCGAAGATCTTCTTTCGCTTTCTCGGTTGGCAAGTTTGTGGCAACTGGCTAGTGGTTCTATGGATTTCTATGTATGTGATTTGGAGTTAGCGTAATAAAGTGGTGTTTTTGGATCGGTCTCCTTTGCAATCGGACTTGGCTTTTGACATCCAATGAAAATGGTTAACTCATCATATAAAAGGCTTCACCAATTCTTGGGCAGATTGGTACTATAACCCAAGAGCCATTAATTATCCTGGGGCCTAAGTTTCGATGTTGGTATGTTTGCTTTGGTTTCTCTTGGGTCTTGGGTCTTGGGTCTTTGTTTTTAGTTTTAGTTGGTTGGATTGTTTAAGGATGTCTTTTTTGTTTTTGATTGATTGATTACGCCCACGACCCGACATCTTGTGCTCCATTTGGCTCAAAATGACGTTATTACACTATTGGGGCCCTCTGTAAACTTGCATCTGGTTACTATAGGGAGTGCTAATGGCACCCCTTTAACAGGCGGTGTTGATTGCTTGGAAATTGTGTATTTCTAAAACATCAAATTGATTTAATAATATATTCTATTTAATTATCATTATTATTTAATACATATATATATATATATATAT